CCTTCCTTCCCTCCATCCCTCCCTCCCTCCTTCCCTCCTCCCATTCTTTCTAAATTAAGAATAGTTTTAAAATGGCACACTCTATATGTACTGGTTTATCAACCTGACACACCAGAGTCGGAGGAAACCTCAATTGAAGAAATTCTCTATCAGAGTGCCCCATATGCAAGTCCTTGAGGTGTTTGCGTGATTGTCAGTGTGGAAGGGTCCAGTGTGGGCAGTGTCACCCCGGGGCAGGTGGTCTTGGGAGGTACAAGAAAAGTAACTGAATGTGAGCCTGAGAGCAACTCAGTAGCTGTGTTCCTCCATGGCCTCTGCTTCAGATCCTGCATCCAGTTTCTTGGGCTCCCTCCATGGTGGACTGCCACTTGGAAGAGAAAGATCCAGCAAACCCTTTCCTCCCCATGTTGGTTAGGGTTGCTGTTTATCACAGTGACAGAGGGGCAAATGAGAACCCCACAGCAAGTGTTGGCCGGGATGTGGGAGAACTGGAATTCTCACACACCAATGGTGGAAACAAAGTGGTACAACCACTTGGAAAACTCTGGAAGTCCCTTAAGTTAAACATATGCCCACCATTATTGCTCAGTGATTTTACTATGAGGCTTTTCTCTAAGGCAAAAAGGTTTTGTCCCTACAAAGACTTATACACTAACACCTGGAAGCAATACAAACACCAATGAGTGAACAGATGAACAAAATACGATCTCCAATACTATTCCATGTTCAACAATAAACTATTCAAACACGGTAAAACATAGGTACCATTCAAATTAGCTAGAAGGAATGAATGAGTCCCATCAAAGGAGAACCTAGAATACCACGTATACAAAATTCTAGAAAAAGAATGTCTATATATGATGGTAGAAAGCAGAAAGTGGAGGCTAGAGATATGGCTCAGCAGTTAAAAGCACAGCCTGCTCTAGCAGAGGACCTGGGTTCAAATCCCAGCACCCGCTAGACAGCTGGCTGTTGTCCAGTTTCAGGGAGTCTGACGCCCCCTTCTGGCCTCTTAGAGCACTGCACGCATGTGGTGTATTTAAATACAGGCAGGCAAATGTTCATACACATAAAATTATATAAAACAAACAAACAAACAAACAAACAAACAAAAAAACACCAGAAAGTGACTGCTAGGGTTGGGGCTGGGAGGCAGCTTGGAAGCAGGATGCAGGATGAGATGGTTGTCAGTGGACATAAGGAAACGTACTGGGAAATTCGCAATCTTGACAGTAGATGTGTCAAGACTAAAATGTAAGTATATACGGTTGGTCGTGTGCCAATTACACTTCAACAGTTTTTTTTTTTAATTTCCTTAGCCTCACACATAATAGCCAAGAAGAAAAGATCTCTGGCTTTCTTACTTTGATGAATTAGATACTTTTTCTTTGAGTAAAAAAAAGCTGAAAGTTAAACCAGTCATTTACTGTATCTATATAAATTTATACAGCATTTACAGAGTGTCTTATGGGGAAGGGGGCTGGAGAGATGTTTAAGAGCATTTTCTGCTCCTATAGAGGACCCAGGTTCAGTTTCTAGCACTCACTTGGTGGCACAACACACACATAACATACACAAATGCATATAGGCACCACACACATAACACGCACAAATGCATATGGGCACCACACACATAACACACACAAATGCATGCTGTGGGATGTTCTGTATGTCAAATGTGTTGCTCTGATTGGTCAATAAATAAAACACTGATTGGCCAGTGGCCAGGCAGGAAGTATAGGCAGGACTAACAGAGAGGAGAATTGAGAGAACAGGAAGACGGAAGGAGTCACTGCCAGCCACTGCCATGACAAGCAGCATGTGAAGATGCCGGTAAGCCACGAGCCACATGGCAAGGTATAGATTTATAGAAATGGATTAATTTAAGATGTAAGAACTAGATAGCTAGAAGCCTGAGCCATTAGGCCAAACAGTTTAAACAATAGAAGTCTCTGTGTTTACTTGGTTGGGTCTGAGCGGCTGTGGGACTGGCAGATGAGAGAGATTTGTCCTGACTGTAGGCCAGGCAGGAAAACTCTAGCTACAAATGCATATAGGCACCACACACATAACACACACAAATGCATATAGGCAACACACACACACAAAGTAAAAATAAATAAACCTTTAAAAAATAAACAAATTAAAAGGAAAGGGAAAACAGTCATTTTAAGATAGCAACAATGGACAGGCAAGATGGCTTCAGCGGGTAAAGGAGCTTGCTGCCAAGCCTGACAACATGAGTTCTGGAACCCATATACGTGGAAGAAGAGAAAAAATTCTTGCAAGTTGTCCTCTGGCCTCCACATGCACATAGTGACACACATGTGCCCACACATGTACACACACAAAATAAATGAACAAGCGTAATAAAAATTCTAATAAACTAATGGAGCAACAAGGAAGATTTGCAGCTGACTTCTCTCCAGAAAATGATGGAAGCCGTGAGACAATGGAATGACATCTTTAAAATAGTGAATAAACATAGCTGCCAGTTTGGAACACCACACAAATAAATAGATTAGAAAAATGAAAATAAAATAAAGATATTCTCCAGTCAAACAAAACAGAGGTCACTACCAGCAAACCTGCACTCAGAGAAAACGAAAAAGAGTTCTTCAGACACAAGGAAAGTGGTCCCAGAGGAAGCAGGAAACCACAGAAAGTAATGAGGAGCAACAGGAAAGGTAAACATGAAGATAAACAGAAATGAACAGGTTCTGCACGACAGAATGGGCTGTGGTGTTTAAAATGTATATACAATTAAAACGCACACAACAAAGCCACAGAGGATGAAGAACGGTAAATGCCACAGGCTGTTCTCAGTTGCTGGTCATCAACGAAGCCATAAAAGTGACAATTCCTGTAATTCTGTGTTAAGTCAAGGTGTGTTTTCCTCTTGAATCGCCAATAATACAACAATAAAAAGAATTTTGTGAATCTGAAAGAAGGCATTACAATCAAGTCCTCAGGGCCTGGCTGTCACTTCCTACTAGGAAGTGCCAGGGCAAGGCCTTGAACTTAGCAGGTGAACATTTCAGCAGAGGTAATTTCTGCTATCTGAAGCGCCCTCCACAGTCAGCTCCTCTCAGCTGCCTTCCTTGAGGTACCTCATCCATCCATATCCATCTATCATCCATCCATCCATCATCCATCCATCCATCCATCTATCCACCACCCACCCACCTATCCATCCATCCACCTATCATCCATCCATCCATCCATCCACCTATCATCCATCCATCCATCTATCAATCTATCCATCAACCATCCATCCATCTACCTATCATCCATCCATCCATCAACCATCCATCCATCATCCACCCACTCATTCATTCTGTAGACTAATCTTTACCAAGTGCTTCCAGGGACCTTGTTAGGGCTAGGCTTACAGAAGTGAGCCAGAAACAAGCCCATCTCCAAACCAGATCTTTCTTAAACATGTATGTGTGGGTGGTGGTGGTATATGTGCATACTATGGTGTGTGCATGGAATTCAGAAGAAAACTTGTGGGAGTCAGCTCTCTCTTTCTACCATACTGGTTCCAGGGACCTGACTCAGGTCATCAGGCTTTGTTGCAGGCTCCAGTGAGCCATCTTGCTGATTTCTTAAATGTGTGTGTGTGTGTGTGTGTGTGTGTGTGTGTGTGTGTGTGTGTGTGTGTCTGCCTGCATGTGCACATGTGTGTGCTCTGGTGCATGTGTGCGCACAGAACAGAAGTCAGAGATTAACCTTGAGTGTCTTCCTGTTATTTTCCACCTTTTAAAAAGATATCTTTTTTTTAAATCTATGTGCATGTGTGTGTTTGTGTTTATGAGCATGACTGCAAATAACCACAAGAGGCCAGAAAAGGGCAGCGAGTCTCCTGTAGCTGCAGTTACTGTAGTTGTGAGCCACCTGACGTGGGTTCTGAAAACGGACGTCCTCTGGGAGAGCAGCAAGTACTCTCCACCACCGAGCCCTGCCCCATCTTGTTTTTTGAGACAGACTCTCAACCTAGAGTTCACCAATTTGTCTAGGCTGGCCAGTGAGCTCTCGGCCTCTCCAGCACTGGGATCACAGATGCACATCAATACACCTGGCTTTCCTAACATGGGCTTGGGGGATTGAACTCAGGTCCTTGAACTTACATGGCAAGCACCAAGTGAGCCCTCTCCCCAGCTCCCACTTCCTTAAGCTGTACACTGCACACGAATCCCCCGGAAACGCCACAGGTCTGAGAGATGGCTTGCGAGCCTGCAGTTCTGACAGACAGTCCTACTGCTGGGGTTATAGCGGGGTTTTATGTGGCTTCTAAGGACCTGAACTCAGACCTTCACGCCTGCACGTGAAGCACTTTACTAACGGAGCCAATCTCCCCAGGCCTAGCTCCTTTCCTCTTCTTTTAAAAAATTATTTTATATGTATGAGTCTTGCCTGTGTGTATGTGCATGCACCATGCACATGCCATATGCTTGCAGAAGCCGGAAGAGGATGTAGGACCCCCTGAAATTGTAATTACAGATGGCTGCGAGCTACCACAGAGGTGCTGAGAGCCGAGCCCAGGTCTTCTGCAAGAGCAGCGGGTGCTCTTATCTACCAAACCACCTCTCCAGCCCTCTCTTCTTAATGACCACAGTAACAGGAACCACTGCCTCATCTCACAAACAGGGAGAGTCAGGCCCAGAGAAATGAAGCAATTTTGCCCACTGACTCCTTGGATATTAGAGGCAGAAAGGAACTGCTTTTCTGGCTAGTCATACCCAAGCCCTCCAGAACAAGAGTTCTGGAATTGTCTTCCTCCCTCAAATCTGCCATGTCTACTAACCATTAGCACCAGTCAAGAAAAGGGGTCATTCAGAGGGACCAGACGAGGTACCTAACTCTGCTCGGATTTGGGGATAAAGACTTCCTGGGGTTAAGGCTGTGAGGAAAGAGATTTGGAGCACAGGAGGTACCCTGTTACCTACTACACACAGGTGCAGAGGCAGGCACACAAGGTGTGGAGCTGGACTCCCTACCTAGTAGACTGCTTGGCTAGCATGGCCACGTAGGTGACCACAAAGCTCTGAAACTTGGCCCTCTGCTCCTCCCAGCGATCGTCCACTGAGTAGTAGTTGGGGAGCGGCGCTCCAAACAGGATCTCGCTGCGCAGGAGGGAGCTCTTCAGATTATCCACCGAGAGGCCTTCGTCGACATACCAGTAAAACTCAGGGTGAGTCATGGCCAGCTCGAGGGAGCCTGCAGGGACAGGGGAATCCAAAGAGCTCAGTGCACTGCTCCCACCAGCACCCCACCCCCACCACAACATCTGGGACAGATGCACGACTTGGAGAATCTACAGCTTCCCAAGTACAAGCCTCCTTTGCCTGAGCAGGCAGTTCCCACGAGGTTTGTGCTTTGATTCCAGTTTGAACCCCACCTAATTCCAAGGCTCAGTCTGTAATCCTGTAACTCCATCTGCTCAAGCCCTACCCGACCTGTGCCCTCCCCCTCCAAAGCTCTACTGTCTAGCACTGTCCCATCCCTCCTCAAGCCCCACCCCAAGATGCCTTAAATCTTTTTGTCCTGGTTAGTTTTTTAGTTTGTTTTTGGTCAACTTGACACAAGCTAATGTTATCTGGGAAGAGGAACCTCAACTGAGAAAACACCTCTATCAGATTGATTGTAGGCAAACCTGTGGGAACATTTTCTTGATTGTTAATTGACAGAAGAGAACCCAGCCACCGGGGTGGGTGCTAATCTTGGGTAGGTGGTCCTAGGGTGTTTAAGAAAGAAAACTGAGCAAGCAAGCCAGTAAGCAGTGGCCTTCCATGACCTTCAGTTCCTGCCTCTAGGTTCCTGCCTCGAGTTCCTGCCCTGACTTCCTTCGATGATGTACTGTGATGTGGAAATACAAGATGACATACACCTTTTGCTCTCTAGGTTGCTTTTGGTCACGGTGTTTTAATCACAGCAATGGAAACCCAACTAAGATACACTTCCTTCCATGCCCTCTTTAAACAACCCCACTCCCAAGTCTCTCTCCATGCTTTCTCTCTCTCTGAACTCAACCTAACTCCCAAAATCCCACAATCCCAGTGGGCATCCTATTCTGTCGCTTTCTCTCCCTCTCCCTCTTCATATCCAGTCCCAGCTGCACATCCCATTGGCACCTCGCCCTGTGGCCACGCCCAAGCTCAGCATAGTCCCTTGATGCTCACCCCGGATATCCGCCAGGTCCTGGCCCATGCCATCATAGTAGATCTTGCCGCCCCTCTCGGTGGGAAAGAAGTAAGTCATGAGAGAGCTGGGCGGGGAGCAGTAGGAATAGGAGCCGAGAGGCAGGTCCTTGAGCACCTCATGCGGCTTCCAGCAGAACTCCCGGAAGCCCGGGTGGTCCATAATCTTTCTCTCGATCTCGTGGATCGTGACCAAGCGCTCGCTTGTGAAAATGTTGCGCTCCGCGTCTCCCCGCGCCAGGAAGATGAGCTCGATGCGCCAGTGCGCGTGCGTCTGGGTGTTGGCGCTCACATAGGTGCGCGAGTAATCCCAACGCGAGGCGCCCCGACGGGCTCGGCTCTGATTGGCTACCTGGTCCGTCGGGGGCGGGGCCTGGCGTCGAGGTCGCTCACTCGGAATGGCTGCTGATGTCTGAGTGGCAGGGGTGACCCTCGGAGCTGAGCGAGGGGTCCGGGATGCCTGTCGCGAATGATTCCCCAGGTGCAGCTGCTGCAGCTGCTCTGAGATGAGGCGCTGCAGCGTTTCGGAGGTGAAGTCCGCCAAGTCCCGCCTGTTGCGCCCCCAAGATCCAAACTGGGACTTGAGGGCCAAGGCCAGAGCGTCAAAGCGCTGTGACGCCTCATGGTTGCGGATTTCGAAGGCATTGTAGGAGATGTCGATGTCCAAAGGCGGGTAGTAGAGAAACATGAAGGCGGACAGCACCATGGGGATGCTGCAGCCGAGGAACAGCACCAGACCTGCGCAGCATGGGTTGGTGAAGGCCCAGCCCAGGGTGCTCCAGAACCCTGAGGCTGGGGGCCGGGAGGGCAGCGTCCAGCGTCGCCAGTAGCCCTGTGCTCCGGAGGGCAGCCCTGGCCCAGAGACACCTCTGCAGGCCTCGCCCAAGGTCTCCTCTTCCTGCTGTTCCTCTTCTAGCCACACATCCTGCAGCAGGGGGTCATCCTCCGAGTCCATAGCCTAGGGAAAAAGGATGATGGGTCAACAGCCTTGAGAGGGGAGGCTTCACCCAGCCTGGGTACCACAAGCAGACGCCAGTTCCACCGTGGGATTGAATCACGCGCTCACTAGGCTCTACGGCACCAAAGCACATGTGCACCCAACCAGGAAAAACACATTATTCTTTCCCATCACACCCAGCAAGATGATCGTGGCTTTTAAGACCGGAAAAAAGGGGGGGAGGGGAGAACAGGGGTTGGAGATACGGTATGGGCTGCTCTTGCAGAGGACCCGGGTTCAGTTCCCAGCACTCTCGTGGCATATCACAACTGCCTGTAGCTCCAGTTGTAGCGGATCTGAATCTAAGGGGCACCTGGCACGCATGTTTGCACGTGCATACGTACAGATAAAATGGCTATGTGCACAAAAATACAAAAAAAAAAGGGGGGGGGAGGATCTGTAAGCCAATTGCAACAGAAAAGACATTTTTTTTTTTTTCTGGTGTGTAAAGGCCAGCCAAGACTTCTGGCTACATGTGATGTTTCAATTTTTGCTGCGTTCTCTGTCCAACTTCAGAACTCAAGGCCAATGTAAGATGTGGCTCCATAGCAACTACTTGTGTATAATGAGCAACTAACTGTAAGGCACCTTCGGAGTTTGTCAGGGTAGGAGAGAAAAATGATCTCTGGAATCAGACAGGCCCTGGTTTGGGTCCTGGCAACTGGAACATTGGTAAGACTTGCAGCCACCCTGAACTTCCGAGTTACCACCCATAAAATGAAGGGAGCCATTCCTGTCTCAAAGGAGTGTGGGGTCAGAGGTGGAAGTACTTTGCAGTCTGTGTAATATGGTAAATATCGTCTGTCAGGCAATCACATTCCTTTGTTCCCCTTTGGAGATTGTAACGTTCTCAGTCATTGCCCAGGGGACTGTGCCAAGACTAGGGTCTGCCACAGAGCCCTCAGTACATCCCACCCCTCCCTGAACGCTGCAGCTGCAGCCACTGTCTGTCAGGCTTAGACCACTTAATATGCAGCTCCAGCAAACGGCAGCCCTCTGAGCACGGGCAGGGGCTAGGCATCTCTCAGAGATGTGAGGATTCCCACAGGGTGGCCCAGAGGCCACCTTCAGTGTCACTGGGATGGAGGGAGACTTCTGATCCAGATAGACATCAGATAGAGGGAAGGGGCAGCAGGGCTGAGGATGCCCCCTTTCCCACTGGCATTCTCTGGAGCATTCCGCTTCAATTAGCTGGCCAACCCAGGAGGAAGGGAATGCTGTCAGTCCAGAGCTAGTGAGGAGGAGGGAGGAGGAGGGAGGAGGAGGGAGGAGGGAGGAGTAAGGAGGAGGGAGGAG